TAGTACCTTTCCGACGTAGTAAACTCGTACCGTGATTATCCTAGGACCGAAGCCTCTAATATCGTTACCTATCTATCCTAGCCTATCGCTCTATAATATTTTTAAGGCGACTAATATATTTGTAAGTATAAATAACGTATAATAGCGATTCAACTTATAGGGACTATATCTTGCTCTAGTATATAAGGCCTTAAAGTTATACATAATATTTACGTAAGTATTAAAGACGTATATAATAAATAATATACTAGAGACTATACCTACCCTAGTATTAATATTATACTCTATACTCTAGGTCTACTCTAGTCTATATCTATATATATGTATGTATATACTATATTATAATAGATAAAAGACCTAGACATATAGTAATAGGTATATAAGATATATTTTCGATATATTAGGGCTACGCTATATATATTGGATACTATATATAAGACTAAGTATATTCGCTCGATATAGTTCTAATGTCTTAATAGAATATTAAACATAACGGTACATAATAAAGTAAATACTATATAATATATCATAGTAGTCCGTACTATTAATAAGTATATACCTATCTTAGACAATATAGCTAATATTAATATTCCGGCGTATATAATAGTATAAATTATATAATATAAACCCGTAGTATATTACCTACCTCTAGAGTAACGATACTAATATCGTAATATAAATATTGACTACCTTAATAAGAAGTAAATAAAGAAAAAATAGAGAACGTTAGCTATAGCTATATTATATAACAGTTGTTTATACATACGAAATAGGTTATCGCGAACTCTAATTAATATATATATATATACGTAAATTTTTATATGTTATAATATACCTTATTGGTAATTACCCTATAGTATATATAAATACTTATTCCTAGCCTAGGGCTAGTATTATAGTCGACCTTCATCTAATAGACTATAAACTCCCGGGTATCTATAAGACGCTATAATTACGTTTTATATTAAAATAGATAAAACGGGACCGATAGGATGCTATAAAGTATCGGATCGCTAATAAGTTAAACTATAAGGGATGACGCTAATAATTCAGATAGCTTTAGAGCGCTATACGAGATAGCGAGAGGGGATAGATAATAATTATAGCTATAGACTATTATAGGGTACTCGTATCTATAGTATAGGTTATCGATATAGGAGGACCGATGTCGATATCGGTCTATAGAGGTAAAGACGTAGTATAGAGGGAATATAAACTAGGGAATAGTTATAGAGTACCGATTACAAGTTACTATTAGCTTATATATAACAATAGGTAAAGTATAGTATAGTATCCGGTCGGATAAACGAGTACACCGTCCCGTTAGTTTATCGTTCGTATAGTTAAATAAATATAAGGAATCTAGTCGAATGTACTAGTATCTACCCTCTAACGTTACCGCCTCTATTCGTAAAAGCGGTTACATAAGACGCTACTATATAATACTATCCGCCGCCGTCTTAGGCAATACGTAGCGCTACGTCTAATGCTACTATTCACCGATACATCCTACTATGTTAGCAAATATACACTATCACCGATGTTTATACCCGCGAGGGACTTACATTCGCTACTTTTCCCTACTATATTCACTATCTATTACGTTTGCTACTAGGCGATCTAATATATTATAACATTCACTAGTGCTATTTACGAATGTCTTATAAACACTATAGTGTTTCTAACTAAGACTACATTCACTAATAGCTAATCCTACCTATATAGGCGATCCTCCCGCCGCTCTTTAATATTACTTTACACTACACCCTCCTCTCTAATAACAAATAGACTCGGCGACCGCTACTAGAATCACGCTAGCTCCTATAGAGATACGGATCCAATCCGAACGTCTAGCCCGTAGGCTATCCCTTCGAAACACATTATATCGTCTTCGGTATATAGGCATCCGCCGCCGAATAAAGTAAACGCCCTCCCTCCGGTACGTTACTCGCTATATAGAGGTCCCGCCCTACCGCCTCTATAGTAGCACTAGCTAACCGTGATATATAGACATACTACGTAACATAATATACCTCTACTAGGTAATACTACTACGAACGGTACCTCTACCTATAATAATAGCGACTACCCTACCGGTACCTTCCTCTTCTAGGGAAGCTAGTATCGCTCTATTAGATCGGGCGGCGACGACGTTAAATATATTACTACCCTAAACGTGTTTAGAAAGAAGCACGAGGGTACGTAGGTTTACTATATCGAGAAGGTCGTCTCCTAGAATAGACCGAATATTGCTATATCTATAAGGATATACGAATAGTATACCGCGGCTTAGTACGAGTCCCTATACCTAGGCCTCTAGAGTATATACGAAATAGAGCCGAACACCGACTTTAACGCTAACGGCCGATCGAACTAGCTATACTAGCGTAACGGCACGATAAAGAAGGCGAATATCGAGGCTAAGTGTACCTAGGTAACTATAGTATAAGGGCTAGGCGACATACACCTATAACCCGTATAGCCTAGCGGCCGGCGCAACCGGTACTACGTATAACCTCGAGGAACTCTCTACCTAGCGGTAGCTCTAGTAGTGTTTAGGGTTGAACTAAACCGAATTTCCTATATTTATAGTTTAGGCTCTCTTAATAAGTTATATTATTATCTAGTAGTATTAATCGTGTCCTGTTTATACCGATAACCTCGGACTCCCCTATATTCTAGACAGCCGTAAGCATTAGAGAAGACGAGGTATATACCCTAGGCGACTAGCGTAATTAAGAAGAAGATGTAGTAGATTCTCCCGTCCGGCGTAGCGGTAGTCGCGATAGGGACGGTAAGTGTAAGCGTAGTAGCGTATATATCCGTTTAACTAGTATACGTATAATCTACGATAAGTATATATCCCCTTTACATATTTCCTACGCTACACTTTATAATATATATACTACGAAAGAATCTCCTCTAAGTCTAAGGAGTCGGGGATTACCCTCGTAGCCCTATCCTTCCTACCGACCTCTACTAGAATAACGGGACTACGACGACCGTAGACGTCCTTAAGGCTACGGATACTAGCCTCGATCCCCTCTTAAAAGGTAGATAGACTCTATAGCGTCTATCTCCGACACCCCTTATAATAGTCGTTGCCTTTTGTTCTCGAGATATCCGGTCTACCTACCTTAAGGTATATATCTCTCATCCTACGGAATGCTATAGCTATACGAGGCCCTATATATACTACGGAGTTACCGTCTACTTCTACGTCTACGGTACCTAGTATAGCGTCCTCCTTACTTCCCCTCTCCCTATTATCACTAGTGATCGCCTCTATACTAGCCGTAGCGTTCGTCCTAGCGCTTTCCTCTATACCTCTAACTACCGTCCGTATATTAGTCTCGATAGTACTAACACCCTCGGTTAACCCTATATTCCCGTCTATATCCGGCCGAGTCGGATTGCTATCGACATCATCGCTAGTACTATCTCCGGGCCTCCTATTAGCGCCCTCCCCTATATCCTCCTCTCCTACGCCTCCTCCTACGCTAACCCTTATACTATCCCTTACGCTATCCCTTATGTTAGCCCCTTCACTATCCCTCGCGTTAGCCCCTTTACTATCCCTTACGTTATCCCTTACGTTATCCCTTACGTTATCCCTTACGCTATCCTTTACGCTATTATTATTAGCGGTACCTTCTCCTATATTGTCCCTTACGCCTTCTC